GCTATAAACTCCTCTCTAACACCACCTGGCCCAACATCGTAGAACCCCACCAGGGAAACCGGTTGGGTTTTCACATTGCTTTGCTAGAGGGGGGCATTATCTTTCCCCTTTGCCCCCTCCTCGTAGAAATCTGTAATAAGTTCAATCTTTTACCCGGCCAGCTTACTCCAAATGCTCACCGGTTTTTGAATTGTTTTGTAAATATTTGTGAATCTCTGAACATCAAACCTTCCCTTGATCTCTTCCTTCATATGTATGATGTCTTGCCCGGGACTAGTAACTGCCCGGGCTTTGTTTACTTCCATTCCCGTGCCAACTCTAGGGGTTTTTTAACCGGTCTCCCCCCTAGCCACAAGAAATGGAAACAAAGATTTGTTTTCATTGAATTCCCCACTGACCAATTTCCCCTCTCTAACCGTGAGTGGGCTGACCGGGTTATAAAACCTGTAAGGGTTCACCCTGTGCCCACTAAAGAGCTTGAGGACGCTTGCGAGAAACTTCTCAAGGGTGATCCTGTGACCGGGAAACCTTATGCTTATGGGGGCTAGGTGTACCGGTTGTCCAACCCGGATGGGGTATGTCTGCGACCCATGACGCAGAAGATGACCGGGCCAACTCCCCGGATGGTCATGCTGAGGGCAGTTCTCCTCATCCAGGTCGGTCAATCTCCCTTCCCTTTTGATTTCAACTTTATTTTGTTAAGTTGAAAAAGCTAACCGGTAATTTTTTGTTCCGTTCTTGTTTGTAGACATGGAATTCAACAGGATGACCACTATCATCGAAGATGACGACGATGATATTCAAGTCCTCCATTCCGACCGGTCTCCTCTTTCCAAGCCTCCTTCTCCTCCTCATATCCCTGAAATGGATGAGGCCACAAGTGCCCGGTGTAGCCCTATCCCTGAACAGAGCCAGAAGCTGAAATCTCCTCCAGCCCATCTCTTTGAAAATGACCGGGTCCCTTCTCCTAAGAAGGATGTCAAGGCCAAAGGAAAGGAGACCGGTCATTCTTCCTCTCACAAAAGGAAGGGTTCCCACAAGACTTCTAAGGGAGAAAAGAAGAAGAAGGTCAGGCTATCAGATTTGGAGGGGGAATCCATCGAAGTAACTTTCCTATCCCTGGCCAAAAAACTTAGCAAGGTACCAACTCTGATTTTCCTCCCGGTTTAGTTACTTCCTTTGCCTTTACTGACAAGTTTGTTTTCCAGGTTGGAGTTCTATCCGAAGAAGTTGGCTGGTCACTCCTGGAGTCCAAGGACCAGGTCTCCGAACTCACCCTCCTTCTTGATTCTGCCAAGTTGGAGATCAATGACCGGGTCGAAAGGGAGAAGAGACTTGAAGAGGAGTTGAAGGAAGAGAGGGCCAGGCTAGACGAGGAAAGAGCCAAGCTGGTGGAGGGGAAGAGAAAGGTGGCTGAGCTTGAGGAAGCTTTGGGACAGGCCGAAGAATCTGCTCGGGCAAAGGAGCAATCTTTTCCTGATGATCCTGCGACTTGGGCCGCCTGCCATCACACTGAAGTTGCTCGGTCCATTCTCATCAAGCCGGAGGATACTATGGACTTTTTCAAGACCATGTACAAGGAACCGGAAGGCAAGAGGATGATAACTGAGATCGGGTCATATGGCTTCCAGTGTGGCCAGAAGGATGAGAGGTCCCTTTTCTATGCCAGACTCTAGAAGAGGGACCCTTCGTTTGACCCGGCCAAGATGAAGCTTCCTCCTTTGTACCAGGAAGAGCCAGCCCCCCCTTTTCCTTTACAGTAGGTTAGGGTAGTTTTTGAAGAAACTCTGAATTTTCCCAAGGCCTGGGGGATGTCCGGCCTACTTTTGATTTGTATGATACTCAAATTTTCCTGGCATGCCTTTAACTTTTACTGGCTTGTTTACTTCTTTCCGTTCGCATGGTTTGATTTCTTTTCTCGCATGCTTATCACTTCTCGCATGGTTGCTTTGGTAGTTGCCTGGTTAGGTTTCCTAGTTGATAAATGTAGCCAGTCTTGAATCTTAGGAATTGTTTTAAAGAATATCCAGGTCATCTCACGTCCTGGTCTTTAAAACATCAAGTCTTGGTTGACAGTTCTTCAAAACATGTTGCTTCCAAGTCAATAGAAATAACCGGTCTAATTGGCATGGTTGAAAAATGCCTAGATCATATAATGTCCTGGTCAAATTCATCTCTTGAAAATGTCCAGGTCTTGTAATCTTGAAAACGTCCAGGTCCAGGGCACCTCATGTCTGACTAGTTTTCTGGACCGGCTTATGTCTAGGTTGAGCTGCTACAAATGTCCAGGTCATTTCGTGTCCTGGTTAGTAGCCTAGGTTGAAAGTCTTGAGGAGCATTTTAGATGCAAGGCTTGAAAACTTCCAGGTCATCTCATATCCTGGTCTCTTGACTTGAAAATGTCTAGGTAAGTTTCTTCCCGGTTTGTGACAATCATCTAGGTTGAAAACGTCCTGATCAACTTCTAATGGCTTGGTTTCACTATGTAACCAGCATGATGTCAATTTTTCTGTCCAGGTGCCGGGTCAAAAATATGACCGGTCAAAAATGAAGTTTTCCAGATCTGCCTGATTTCCTCAAATCCAACCCGAAAAAAGTGACCGGTCACTTTTCTCAAAGTTGACCGGTCAAATTTTAATTTTTTTCCCCATTCGCATTTTCTTGCCAATCCAGAACATTAAAAAGTGACCGGTCACTTTTGACCATGCCACTCTCCTCATACCCCTCTGGCCTAGATGTCATGCTTAACAACAACATTGATCAAACTTCGAACGAATAATCCGAAACGGTTTTGGAATCATCAAGTCTCAACATCAAGACCCGATCTTTCTTCGGAGATTTTGACCATGTCCTATGATCGCGAACCCTCTCCAAGGTCCAGCCCTCTTCCAGGCAACACCCTTCTTCCAGGGCCCCTCTTCCACGTTTTAAGTCTTTTAATGTGCCATTCTTTAATCATTAGATTGACCTAGCCAACCCAATCTTCCCATCGTGGGGGTATGCCGATGAGAACCAGCCCTCATCCAATCTTACATGTCCATATGTTATGCGTTTGAAGTGAACTCTAGTCTTCCCTAGACCCTTCAATCCGCAAAGGATGGCTCATGCAAAACAGTAAACGTTTTTTTTATTTTGGCATCTTTTCGCCCCTATCCAAACAAAAATTTGGTAGGGATCCATGTAAGTATGGATGCGAGTCCTCTTCTAGACCCAACCTATCTCAAGGCTATACCTCAACATCAAGGCCCCTATCTCAAGGGTTTATCTCTTTTTTTTTTTTTGAAATTTTGACCTTGCCTCTTACATCAAGACAGGTTATTTTTGCATCACTGACCCAACATCACTTGTATTGAAGAAAGCTTTTATTCATCATTGAAGGGGTATTACAAATGCAAGCCCTACCAATTTGGCCTACCGGTAGAATTTTCTAAGGTGGTGGGAATTCCAGCACCTTTCCAATTCTCTACCTTCCATGGTTTCTAACTTGTACGTCCCAGGGCGTAATATTGCTGTGACCCTATATGGGACTTCCCATTTCTTTGCAAGCTTTCCCCCGTCTCCCGGTTTGCTAGCCTCCCTTCGTCTCAAGACCTCATCACCCACCTGGAAATAGCGAGGCCCTACCTTGTTATCATGGTAGGCCTTGGTTGCTTGCTGATACTCTATCATTTTAGCCTTAGCGACCATCCGCCTTTCCTCCAGCAAGTTCAGTTCTGCCATATGGTCTTCTTCATTCCCTTTCTCCTCATAGATCTTTTCCCGGAAGGTCATTATTTTAGCTTCGATGGGTAGTCTGGCCTCGCACCCGTACGTAAGGACGAAGGGTGTTTCCCCTGTGGCCCTTCTCGAAGTGACTCGGTAAGCCCAGATGATATGTGGCAACTCCTCTAGCCAATTTGTTCCTGCCTCACCCAACCGCTTTTTAATCCCATCGACTATTGTGCGGTTCGCATTCTCCACCTGACCATTCCCTTGCGGGTAGGCCACGGAAGCCTTGTTGTGAGTAATTCCGAAGTCCTCCAAGTATTTGGTGAACCCTGTATTCCGAAATTGAGGCCCGTTATCCGTCACAATGTTTCAAGGAGAGCCGAACCTGGTGATTATATTCTTCCAGACGAAGCGCTGGCACTGCTTGGTTGTGATGGTTGCATATGCCTCGGCCTCTATCCATTTTGTGAAGTAGTCGATAGCAACCATGACATACTTCTTCCTCCCTTGTGCTTGGGGGAAGGCTCCAATGATGTCCATCCCAAACCTTGCGAATGGAATAACATTGGAAACTAGGTGGTAGTATGTCGCAGGCCTTCCCGGAAACTTGTAGAACACCTGGCAAGTCTTGCACCTTTGCACGTACTTCTCACAATCCTGGTTCATTGTAGGCCAGAAATAACCTAGCAAGATGATCCTTTGTGCGAGTGTCCTGGACATTTGGTGAGCTGCACAGACACCCTCATGAACTTCGGCGATCACCCTTTCCGCCTCCGCCCTGGTCAAGCATCTCAGCAGCGGACCGCCAAATGCCCTTTTGTATATCCTTCCATCAAGCATTTGGAATCTTGGAGCCCTCAACTTTACTTTTCTTATCCTATCCTCATCCTCAGGGAATTGCCCGGTCATATAGTACCTGACCAAGTCATCCATCCAAATATCATTTGGCTCCACTCGATCTGGATTGGGTTGTCCATCTTCCTCTATCATGCTAACAGAAAACCCTTCAATGCTAGCTTTCTCCAGCGTCTCAATCCTGGCCAGCTTGGACACATGCTCCGGGGCTGCTTGCGTCAATTTTGATAGCAAGTCAGCATCGGTGTTTTCCCCCCTAGGGATTTGCTCCATCACATACTCAGTCAAATCCTTCAATAATGCCCTTGCCAAGTCCCTGTACTTCTGCATCTTCTCTCCTTTGGCCTCCATGTTGCCATTGATGTGGCCTACCACCAAGCTTGAGTCAGATTTAATCCGGAGGCATGTGATTTGTAGGGTTTTGGCCAATCTCAGACCCCCTATCAACGCCTCATACTCCGCCTCATTATTTGTGAGTTTGAAGTTAAA